AAGTTTATCACGGAACAATAATAAATTCACTGTTCCGCCAGTATACGTTTTAGATATGCAAAGAGCTGTACACTTTTCCACTCTTTGCATTGTAACATCGTAAAAAAGGGGCAATTTATTTTTATCTGATGGTCTCGGAAGGCATCTGTTTATGATTTACTAGTGAATAAAATATTAACACATAAATATTTTCTGCATAAAAATAGCTGGAAAACTAGAAACAACCATATCTTTATATTTTATTATATAAGACTTTTGTGATTATTATAATTAATAGGTGTAAGCTTTCATCATTTATGGAAACACTATAACTTGCCACTAACAATAGCCCTAGGTTCAAAAAATTAAAGTTAAAAGTATTTTGTCTAGAAGCTTTTTTTTCTATAAAATTTTTTTGTAATCAGCCATAGATTTAGAGATCGCCCATAATTAAACGTAAATATTAGAAAACTACGACATTACGTATAATAATAATAATAATAATAATAATAATAATAATAATAATAATAATAATAATAATAATAATAATAATAATAATAATAATAATAATAATAATAATATTAATAATAATAATACTGTATTTACGACAAAGTCAGTTACAGATAGGATATGAGCATACAATATACAATATACATTATACATTACAATTCACAATAAATACAGTTATTAAATAAGTGGTAATTTCAGATGGAACTTCTTCTAAAAAATTTAGTTTACAAAAAAATTTGGTTAAGGTCTGAACAAACTTGCGCTAATGTTAAATAATTTAGGTCCAAATTGCCTCATTCGCAAGACGGCAACATCTAGAAAGAGGCATGTTGTGGGAGTAACCATTGGTATGAAAATTAACATAAAACATGTTGCTTTGTCGTGCGCGATGTTGTGGTATTCTAAAATTAATCTTCTCAAGTAATTCTGGAGAATTAATTTGAGAATTCAAAAGTTTAAAGATAAATATAACATTAATACATTTTCTTCTACTAGCTAAACTTTTTAACTGTAGTCTATCCAAGACCAATTGCTTATATCCTGGTAAGTCTATTGCAATTCCCATTTTAAACGCAATAAACCTGGAAAATTTATTTTGAACGCGTTCAATTTTATCAATATAGATATTAAAATAAGGTTACCATACTACTGAGTTGAATTCAACTTGTGATCGTACCATTGATGAGTATAGGATCTTGACACACCCTACCCTCGTAAAGTCTCGCGTATTTCTTTTTATGAAGCCCAAAAGTTTGTTAGCTTTATTAGTTATGAAGTTAATATGTCCCGCAAAGGTTAACTGAGGGTCCAACCAGACACCCAGATCTTTTATTTCCGATACTAAGTTTAACGGAGTACTGTAGAGTTTATAGTTAAATTTTGGATTTAGATCTGTGAAACTTCATTATTTTACATTTGCTTAGATTCAGTTTTAAGTCATTTGTTAGACACCACTCAGTCAGCCTCTGCAGGTCACATTGCAATAACTGACAGTCACAAGGATGAAACCCTTTTATAAATTTTTAGATCGTCTGCGAAAAGCAGGTAGTTTGAATTCCTTATACTCGTACATTCACCTATGTCATTAATAAAGCAGTTGAAGAGCAACGGTATGGTATGGCGCAGGAAACTGTCTTTGATGATTTGCGACTAGGCGAAGAATATACAGCTTATCTTCTTTGTCCTTGGTCAGTAGCTGGTTATATTTTTTATTAAAACTGATTTCGCGTCCGGCAGTATTATTAATAACAATTTATATTACACCTTTTTACAAAATTCATAGAAAACCAGATTACATGGCCAATTTTAAGGTGGTACCTTAATGAATTCTTCACTTTTGCATGTTTCTTTGATAATAAGGACAAAGCACTACTACCTGAAAAATCTTTTTTTTTTTTTATTTTGAAGGAAAATTTTTTCAATAACGTTCTTTATTTTAGTCAGATCTTCTTTAGAAGCAACATTAAACAAATCTTTAAGATAACTTCTAAACATATTTTCACTAGCAATATTATTTTCTCTTTGACCAGAACAGTGCTTAAGAGCTAAATATCGTTTACACAGTTTTGATAGTTTTCTCACACATACATCAACCCTCTGAGTAGGTACCCTGGCACGCTGCGAAATTTTCAAAACTAATTTAAACGTCTTATACACGAGGAATTTGAGCTATAGCAAAATTGGTTATCCGAGAAGCCACATTAGGTTGTTTCAAAACACTTTTTTTAAAAATTAACCCGCACTGGCCTAAATCATAAAGATTCTATTAAAAATAAAAGAATAATACTAAAAATTTCTGAAACTTAAACATTCTGAGCTGCAAAATTATTACTGCGCATAATAGTTGATAACTTCGTTATTGTTTACTCGATATTATTAGAAATTTAAGAAGTACCTAGATACTTAAGACCCTCAAAGATAGTGTATCGAATTTAAAAACATTTCTTACATTTAAATTATAAAAAAAATTAAGTACTTGATAAATTATGCCCTATTTTCAATTAAAATAAAATAACGTTGACTGCAAAATGATTAACTGCGCTGATATCATGATATGGCCAAAGCAGAAAATTCAAATATATTTTTTATAAAAAGTACCTTAGAGACACTGCCGAGAAATTTCATATTATAGTCGAGCACATATTTTACTGCCGAGGCGCCAGCCGAGGCAATTCATAAGCTTTCGCCGCCCTGTTTTATTATTATAGCTTTTAATTATAATATTTCTTTAGATTTTGTCTTACAATTTTTAGGTTAGATTCAACAGACATGATGACATTTTAAGTTAATTTTTGTAAGGAGGTTTATAATAATTTGACTTTTAAACTAGTATTATTATAAAGTCTTTCTAACATTGATTAAGGTTGGTACTTCTTCACTCAAGAGTAATATGAAAGTTTGTTATACGCTTAAAAAATGTTTATAAAAAGCATTCCCTCAAAATAAAAAGCACCTTAAGTTGCGCTACGCCGCGTCACAAAAAAAAAACAATTCAGCTTAGGTAAAAGATATTTCATATGTTTTAACAATAAATTTATCATAAAAAATATTATTATATAGTTGCAATGTTTATGATTATTTATTAGTTCAACATATCATTTTCATATTTATAAAATAAAATTATAAATTATGTATACATTACTACGGTTTTAAAAAACTTCAATAATTTCAATTATTTAAATCATTCCAAATATAATACAATAATTGTAAATATTAGGTATGTCTATCTTTTTTATGTCAGATACCTTATTATTAACCTTTTATTTTATTGCCTAGAAAAAAACTTCTCCCAAAATAAAATTCCGATTTTCTTATCCATTTTTTGTGTTCTAACAACTTTATAAAAAGAAGAAGCACGAAAAGAATTGTTAAATGATACATAAAACGTAAAATAATAATAATTAAAAAAGGTAGAAAATAAGGTTAGATATTATCTAATAGATATTTCGATTGTAGTCAAATTTTTTGATTGGTCCAAAGCTTATAAATAATGAATTTTTACTCCATAAAGTGTAGAAACCATAACCTGATTGGTCTAAATTATTTTTAAGTTCATAAATTGTTTATCATTTTATTTATAAAATGAGCCTTTTAATTAACAAAATGTTTTTTTTTTATAAAAAAAAATTAATTTTTTGCTTGGGCCAAATCTTGATTGCCAGAGCAGTGCATAATTTTGTAGTCAACGTTATTTTATTTTAATTATAAATAAGGCATAATTTACTTACTTGTGGAATTTAATAAATTTAAAATAATAAAAATAAATATAAAAATAATCTGGATTATTGAAATATTTTTAGGTTAAAAGATAAAGAGAAAAAACAAATGGTTCGAACTCCATTAATGATTTATATGTATTAATTTATTATTTTTATTTGAAAAATACGCTGCTTTCTAAAAATGAATTAGTCAAAAATGACTAATTTAATAGTTATTAGTGGCTGCTTTTTCACTGGTTCCATGGTTAACCATGGAATACCATGGTATCCCAAAATATAACAGCCAATTCTTATGTAAAATTGTCCCCTGAATCCGAAAATACCGTGAAAAGTTAAAAAAGTATAACAGTTTTTGAGATTTAGTCAATTTTCTATTTAATATGTAATTGACTGGGTATATCTCAAAAACTGCTCCACTTTTATTCAGGGGACAATTTTACATAAGAATTGGCTGTTAAATTTTGAATTCAGTGGACAATTTTACATAAGGATTGGCTGTTATATTTTGGGCCGCGACAACCTCACTAAAGCAATTATAATAAACCTTTAGGTTTTATTATCCATGAAAAAATAGGTCTTGGAGCAATAAAAGAGTTTTTTGGTTCTAAGAAGGTCTTAAGACTGTACCAGCGCATTAAAGTAAAAATAGTTTTAAGAAGTAATTTTAAAAGAGGCCCTATAGGTGCTGTTACAGCAATAATAAAACCTAATGTGTTACTTGGTTCAAATTTGGTACGAATAATAATAATTATTATTACATAATTTTTAAGGTAGTTTTTTGCTATAATGTTATAGATATGAAAGTTTATTAAAATAAAAGTATTAAATACATTGTAACAAGGATAATTTAAAGTTTTAAATATTTGAAACAAACTTTTATACAACAAATCTTATAATTACATCAGGCTAATTTAAGTTTATTTAAGTTTATTTTTAATATTAAAAATAAAACTTTTTATAAACTTAAAAAATTTAATTTAGAAACACTGCATACAGTTGCACAAAAACATTTCACAAGCCAAATTTCAAACAAATATTTTTTTAATCTCCCCGCAAAATCCACAACCACAAAACCAAAAACAACAGCACACAAAAAGCAACCATAACGGACAACGCAAACAAATACATTCGCCAAAAAGTTTAACCTCAAAAACCAAAAAAAAACTTTTGAATAAACTTTATTAAAAGAAGCGATCGCTCCGGAGGAATAGCAGCATGCGCACTGGCGCTTTTCAAGAAATAAGACGTCGCGACGCTTCCCGTCAGTATAATAACGGCGTCCGTACACTAAGGGTTAACTCGACGCTGGCGTCGAGCCTAAAAAACGTGCTCTAAAAGTCAAGGAATTTGAACATAAATAAATATGACTCTATCTAAAATAAATTATTCTCATGAAAACTAATTTAAGAAATATTAAATCAAAGTTATAATTATATTATAACTTAATAAAAAATGATATTTGTTTTATTAAATAATTAAGGCCTAAATAAAAGTGAAATAATGAAGTTTTATTGTAAAAATAGTGGACAATACCCTCTAGTTTTTTATTTATTACAAATCATTATAGGTAAGTTAACAAAATAAAAAAATGCAATAAATTATTTATATTTCTATGTATTTAAATTTAACTTATTTTGTATCTTTATTGAAATATTTTAGAATAAATTGCAATACCTATGCATTAATTTTTAAATTTTAATTGATTTCTTTAAACCCCATTTTATGAAATATTTTTTTAATTAATCATCATAATTGTTATTTTTTTTTAAATGAACTAGGTACCTAAATAGTTTTAAGTTAGGTCGTAATATTTATTTATTATAGGACTCTTGTATACTCATTTTATAAAAATTATATTAAACCTTATTTAACAATAATTCTATCTTTGCATTTAGAAAAAATCTATAACAAAAAACAACGTTAATAAGTTTATAAAATGGCGAATGCACCGAGGCTTATAATATCCACAAATTACAATTGGAAATTTTTTATTAAAATGGAGGATTAAAAAATTAAACAGTTTTTTTATATATTTTTTTAATTAAAATAATAAATATTACCCAATTCAAATTTCAATTTTTTCAATGAAAAAGTCAAATAATTATTATAGTAAATTATTATTAATATAATGTTATAATAAAATTATTATTATTATTATTATTATAAAATTATAATTTTTAAATAACATTTATCATGTGATATATTTATTAAAAATATATATTAAATATTTTGGTATTTTTTTAAGTAAGTAAACAACAAAATTAACATACAACATTTTTTTTCAATTAATAGTTTTTTAGTATTGTAAAGCCTGATCTTTTTCAATTTTACATAAAATATGTTTTGGTTTTATACAGGAAAGATGGTAATAGCATAAGATTTTTTGAAACTAGCAAAAAAATAGTTTTGAAACTTACTTCTAGAAAAATAAGTTAATTAAAAATATTATGAACAAAGATTTAATAAATACTAAAGAAATACTGCAATTTTGTAAATTTGATTTAAAAGAAATAATAATAATAATAAACATTATCAATTAATATTTTTTTAACAAAATCTCAGCTAATCTCTTTTAAATAAAATCCCTAGTATTTTTTTTAGAGAATAATAGTATATTATTATATGAAATATAATTTGCATTATCTGGAGTGTAATACTATCCTTTTTCTACTCCAATTAAGTAATTTTCATTAGTAGCAAAATTAATTATAACCATACTTTATTCAAATTTTAACGATCATTATAGTCACCCCTATTTTTTTTCAATTGAAACCCCGATTGGTCCAAAATCAAAATGAATATTGAAATCAGCCTATCACTGATGCCTAACAAGGTAAATAATAAGTTAATTATTCCCGTTTTAGGGTGAGGCGTTTTGTTTCTAATATAATGGTAACCATTATAACTCATTCTATGGAAGATCTATTCCACGATAAAAATTTTAAAATGTTTGAAGGGAATTTAATAATAGACTTTTACTTACAAAATAATGGTCATTTTGAGCATTTAATTTAAGAAGAAAAAAAGTGTTTTGATTATTGTTAAACAATTTGTTTATTTATGCTTATTTTGTTTATTATAATTTAGTTAGAATTATTTTTTATTTTTCAGTTTTTTTAATAATGTTTTTACGATAACAATATAAAATGATTCAATTTGAAATGGGAATACATAATTAAAAATTTATTTCGAGTATTTTTCAAAAATTAAACTATTAAAAGTATTTTTTTTAGAATTTTTAAGTGGAAATTTTTAAGAGGGTTTTACCATTGGAAAAAATTGAGTTGGGGTGGCTCCAGCCTCAGGGGTTGATTAGTCAAGGTTATTTTTGTGGTCATACTGATTCCCCCTACATATCCTAAAAACGGTTTTAAGAAATTTTTGTTATCTTTTTTAGGTCCAGACTTATAGAACATTGCTCTTTTTTAAAAAGACACCCTGTATACATATTAATATATATTATACATATTAATAAATATATATATATATATATATTATTGGATTATTATTATTAGATATTAGTTTTGAAAAGAAATAAAAAATGTACCTGGAGTGTCACTCTGTTTTTAATATCTTTTAAAACATTCCAAATCACTTTTCCAAAACATTGTTTTGTTAAAATAAGTTCAAAACTTAATTATAAAGTCAATTTAAACGAAAAAACAACAAAAAACTAAACAAAACTCTTGTTTGGATTAATTCAGCACAAGATGTACCTAATGTAAATTTAACTGAAGTAAATTTCCGCCAAGCTTGATAGAAGCCAATTAAAGAAGTTTGAAAAAGTCAAACTGTATTAAATTATAATTCGAAAAAAATAAAATGGAAAAATTGCATTCGCACTTTGAGAGGCCGAAAGCAGAAAGTAATAAAAATGATAAAGTAATCAGGTTTGCCATGAAAACTTTATATCCAAAGTTCCCGAGTTCATAGGCGGGGACTTAAAGTTTAATATCGCCAAATTAAAACTTCCTTAATAGCTTGTAACCTTATATGGAATCCAGCTTCAGATTTGCTGATGTTATGGGCAAAATTTTAAGTTAAATATTTGCCTGCAATAATATCTGATTTCAAGATCATTAGTTAGCCAAAAATCGAGTTTAATTTAATTTAATTATGGCAAACTTCTTGGGAGTTACAAAATTAAGTTAGTTACCTAAGTAACACACGCTAATCTGCAAAGATTAGGGTTAATATAAAATGATGAAGTATTGTTAAATACTTTAATTAAGTTTACACACAAAATTTATAAAAACGCTTTCTCCAGCAATATTGTCTTACGCTACTCGCTACCTTTATTTTATTATTAAATTAATCGTTTTGTTTTTGAAAAATATAGGGTAAAAATTTTGTTCATTTAATAAATAAGATAATTGCAGGTCTGTAGTTGGTGTATTTTATAAAATAAAATTATCGGAAAGAGTTCAAAAAATCGTATAATGAAATAAGAAGACAATAGTAAAAGTTTATTACATACTTTGACGATAAAAACAAGGCAAAAATAAGCGGCAACGTTGCCATCTCCATCACGTAAAGACTTTTTTGCGTTGGCCTTTATGAAACTATATTTTGTTTCTTTTTGTTTTGCGTGTCTCTTTTTAATTTTTACCAAATGAAAGTGAGGCTATGTTATTTGTTTTTACATTTGTTGCACATCTAGTGTCAAACAATTAAGAATAATCCCAATAAAAAGAAAGAAGGGAAAATTGGTGAAATAGTAAAAGATATCATGCAATATTTTCATTGTCAGTTATAATCAGATTTGATTGCGACTTTGCCGCTTTGCTTAAGCAATGTTAATTATATTTCAAACGGAATAGATATTGGACGTACATTTTTCTGTGGCTGCTGGCATTGGTCGCAATAGATATACAGGGTGGCCGATTTATCTGAAGACATTGAAATATTTCGAAAACTACGCATCGGATCAAAAAAAGTTTTGATTAAAATGTGTTCGCCTGGAAGGGGGCCATCCAATGATACCAAATTCGACCCCTCACCACCACCCCCTGGGGTGGGGGTGGGGGCAACTTTAAAATTCTAAATAGGAACTCCCATTTTTTATTGCAGATTTGGATTTCCCATTAAAAAATAAGTAACTTTTATAAAAAAACTTTTTTTTAATTCCTGATAGATGGCGCTGTAATCGCAAGAAACCCGATTTTTGGGAATATCTTAAAAAATTACACATCGGATCGAAAAAAAGAAAAACTTTGGATTTTATTCGTATATCTATAAGTTAACATCTATTTTTAACGTTACCCAAGAACAAGGACCAGGACGCAGTAGTTTTTTGTTCCCATCGGGGTGCTAGTTTTAAGAGAGTCCCCCTGCCTCTCACTGTTTAATAAATTAGATTAAATATTCGAAATTGTGACGAACTTTTAGACACTTATTTATTCTTTTTTCAAATGATTGTACACAGGAGAGGAGCATATCTGCGGGAATTTCAGCACAAGCGTTTCTTATGCGCTGTATCATGTATTCCCGAGTTGTTGGTGCTTGTTGAAAAACCGTATCTTTTAGATAACCCCACAGAAAAAAATCCGGCGATGTCAAATCAGGTGACCTAGCAGGCCAATTAACCGGGCCACCTCTGCCGATCCATCAGCCATTGAAATCACGGGTCAATACTTCCCGTGCTGTTGCTGAGTAATGGGCTAGGCAACCGTCATGCTAAAACCACATAATTTGTCGAATGGGTAGGGCACCATCCTCAAGTAGAGGTGGTAGTTCATGTTCCAGGAAATTTCGATATTTGATTCCATTTAAGGTTCCATCAATGAAATAAGGACCAATGAGTTTGTTACCTAAAATTCCACACCAAACGTTAACCGACCAGGGACGTTGATGTTCAACTTGTCGTAACCGATTAACGGAACCATGGTTTGTGAATGTGGACTCATCTGAAAATAGTACATTAGCGAAGAAATTGGGATTTCTTAGTATTTGCTGAACTGCCCATTCACAAAATTCTACTCGCCGATGAAAATCATTGCCATGAAGTTCCTGATGCAGTGAAACCCGGTGATACTTGTGACGATTCAATATTCTCCGAATACTATCTCTGGAAATCCCGAGATCCCGATGTATTTCCCGAGTGCTTACATGAGAGTTATGTTGAACAGCTGCTATCACATTAATTTCATTAGCTTCTCCTGTGACAGTATTTCTTCGTTTTCTTTTTTTAAGTTGTACACTACCGTCGGATTTAAAGGATTGAACAACTTTATAAAAAAACGAGCGTGAACGAATATTATCTGGAAACGTTCAGCATATAAGGCAACAGCATCGTCAATATTCCGCCTACATGTATGCATTCTCCGAAAATTTGAATCCTTTCAATTTTTTCTTCTACGGTTTCAGTATTCATTTCTCACTCGTACGTTTCTAAATCAACTGCGAATGTTGCGTCTATAAAAACGGAACATATGTTTTTATAGACGCATAAGTAAGGTATAAATATGTTTTTATAACATACCTACATATGTACATACCTGGACGCTAGTAAGGTATAAATGTTTTTAATTTGTACCAACATCAAAAGGAATTAATTAATTTAATTTATTTTGAATTCCCTAACAATTCTCGAATACACTAATTATATTTTTTAATGGGAAATCCGAATCTGCAATTTTTAAAGATATTCCCAAAAATAGGGTTTCTTGCAATTACAGCGCCATCTATCAGGAATTTAAAAAAAGGTTTTCCATAAAAGTTACTAATTTTTTAATGGGAAATCCGAATCTGCAATAAAAAATGGGGGTTCCTATTTAGAATTTTAAAGTTGCCCCGACCCCCACCCCAGGGGGTGGTGGTGAGGGGTCGACTTTGGTATCATTAGATGGCCCCCTTCCAGGCAAACAAATTTTATTTAAAACTTTTTTTGAACCGTTGCGTAGTTTTCGAAATATTTCAATGTCTTCAGATAAATCGGCCACCCTGTATATTAGGGTGGCCCAAAAAAAAGAATATTTTTTTTACTCGTCTCTTGTAAAAATATGTTAGTTTATCATGCTGTAAGAGCCCTGTCCAAATATCAGCTTGATTAAAAAAATTTTAGAGGTCGCTCAAGATTTTTTAAAATTTTCAAAATCGTCAAAAATTAATAATTTTTTTTGTTCGTCTCGATATTATTTTTTTGTTTAAACATAATAAAAATTCTGTAAATTTCAAATCAATATTTTGATTTTTAAAGGTCGCTAAAAGTTCGTTGATATTTATATTCAGAGGTCGCTCAAACACATTCAAAATACTCTACTTTGAAAGTTAAAAAAATCTTGAGCGACCTCAAATCAAAATATCAATTTAAAATTTTCAGAATCATTATTTTTAAATTAAAGAATAATATCGGAACGAAAAAAAAATTAAAATAAAAAAAATCCAATTTTTGACGATTTTGGAAATTTTTAAATGTCTTGAGCGACCCCTAAAATTTTTTTAATGGAGCTGATCTTTTGACAGGGCTCTTAAAACATGACAAACCAACATATTTTCACAAGAGACGAGAGAAAAAAAATATTCTTTTTTTTTGGGCCACCCTAATATATATATATATATATACATATATATATATATATATATATATATATATATATATATATATATATATAGGTTGCAATATTTTTTTATTTGAAGCCTATTGACATGAAATTTATAAATTGGGTAAAAAGCTTTTTAAAATAATTTTAAAAAAACTAAACAGCAAACAATTGTATAACTCTTATTCCAGATAATTAAAAAAATATATTGACATTTTTTTCTTCCAATTTTTCGCTACAATATTTTGTTTTTATAATGGCTGCCATGAACTATGTTGTTTGATACATCGTTGGTTTTCTTGATTTTTTTTTTAATCCACCCATCTAAAATTTTAAAATGTCGGCAATAGGAAAAACAAAAGCTGGTGGTGGTATCTCAAAATCTAGTGGGTAAAACTTGTAAAACTTGTTTTAACGATTTTTGGTTTTGACAGGTTTTCAGTTTTTTTTAAATAAGTTATTACCGAGTTTTGATTTTTGTGGAAATTACTAAGTTTTGATTTTTGTGGAAATACACACAAAAAAAAAAGATAGCATAGCATGAATGGGTGAGTCATTAAACCAATGGGATCTTGTAATCGGTATTCCTGAATAACAGTTCCTATAATACCAATAGATAGTTAGCACTTGGTTTACAATGGTTTACTGTTTTTAAATTAACAACAAAAATTGTCGCTCCTAAATCTATTGATATTTACATATATTGATATTTATTTGTTAGAATGTTAGAATGTTATTGCATTAAATACTAATTTGATTTATTTAATAACGTTACTATGGTATGTATACCATGTATACATTTAACAAAATAAATTCTTTGACATTTAGGCAAAATATTTCCCTATTTTCGTTCAATAGTAATTAATTGAGCAAATAACAATTTAGATTGCTTCAATTTTAATGCATTCAATGACAGCGTTGTTCTTGGTTCTATGTTAGATTTTTTTTATGTGCATCTTATTTAAACAGTATTTTGTGGACAGTAATTATTTTTCTATTTTTATTTTACATTTTTGGATAGAAATAAAGATATTACTTACAATAATTGTTAAATTAGTAATAGCCTTGAAATGATACTATAATAAATTAAATTAATAAATTAAATTAAATTAACTGAAACTAACAAAAAGAAATATAAAAAAGCAATTTTATAACAATTTTCTGAATATATTCAATAAAGTAGGAACTTTTATCATTAATTATATTGTTTTTTATTTATTTTTTAGTTTTAATAGCAGTAATGCATAATATTAACAAAATATTAAATTAAATTAAATAAATAAATTTTAAATAATCATTTTTAATTACTTTATACCTCCATAATTCGTATACGGGGGTGATTCTACACATCAAATTAAAAGAAAAAGTTGCTATGAACAGTCCAAAAATGCTTCCTATTTTAAAAATTTCAGAAACGGTTACTGCGAAACTAATGATGGTCGGGTAAAAAATTTCATAATTGTTGTTTTGGGTTTGTTTTTAATTATTTGTCTTCTCTGAATAATTTTACGTAAAAAAGCTGCTCTTGTTACAAGTTTTCGAGGAAAATTTTGTATATATATTTATTTTAAAATTTAATAAATCATAATTCCGTAAGCGAAAGCGCAAAACAATTTTTTTGCACACATACCATACATAGGTATATATAGTAACTTTGGATTTTGAAGAGGGATATAGATATAGATTCAAATTTAAAAAAGTACATTATCCCTCTTCAAAATCCAAAGTTACCCCCCGCCCCTCAAAATAGTAGATATCAAAAATATGTTTAAATGTGTACCCCTACCTCTCTGTTAGTTTACCAAAATTTCACATACAAATTTTAAACCGTTTTCAAAATATTCCCTTTTAACACATTAAAAAATCACCCGGTTTATTATGACAGGTCAAATTTTGTTTAATTATTTTAAAAATTATAATAATTAATAATATTATAACCACTGATATAAACATTAAATAAAGAAAAATGTATTCTTTAAAATTGCTTTTATTCTAGTAAAAATTATTTTCAGTGTCTGTGACTACAGTATGGTCTGTGAAAATCAACAGGTTGCTGGTGCCGGAAGTGGCACGTCCAGGTTTTCCCATTATCCTGGATTGTGACTACACTTTGGAAGGCAAAGACGATGGTCTTGTAGTTAAATGGTTTTTTAACGACCTACCATTACCAGTATACCAGTGGATACCAACTATACACAAAAAACCCCAAGTTTTAGGTACGAAAAATACTGTATTTTTTATTATATTAGATATATCTGTTAAAAAAAAGAAAAGATAATTAAAAGATTTACATACAGGGCCGAGCCGTGCCGGGGGTGCAAGGGGTGCATGGCACCCGGGCGGCACTAACACAGGGCGGCAAAATATCATCAAAAAAATTGTATCATATTATCAAGAATAAAAAAGCCACCTTGCAATATGCAAAAAACTTTCTAAAAATCACTTGCGTTTTATTGATGTCGGCGTTTCAAGGAATCATCGTTTTTACTCTACACATAAAAACAATTCCAAAATTGTGCTGTCAGGCGGCAATGATAAAAAAGACATAACCGAACGCGCGATAGCCACAAAAAATGATGATGCCAATTTTCTTAAAGCCCGGTTTATAGATTGCCGCCCGCCCGCTTCGCTTTCCGTCCGTCCGCTTCGAGTTCGTCAAGTTTCATGTTTTACGGAAGCGGGCTTACGGGAAACCAATCAAATCGCGCGCTGTGTACCACGTGATATTGTTTACAAGCTGAACTGTTAAGTTAAAGCATAATTTCTTCCGATTTGACGGCTGCGTATTTCAGCAATTTTTAGTTTTTCTATTAACGTGAGGCAAATAGGATGCAAACATAGTAGTTTCTTTTGTCTTTTTATGCGTTTAAGTTAAATACTAGTTATTGATTTAAAAGGCATCTTTCCGAATTTATTTGTAGCTTTAAGAATATTTTTGACCATGCCAGTTACTGTTGCCCATGGAGAGCGGTCATTTTCGAAATTAAAACTAATTAAGACCTATTTAAGATCCAATATAAGTCAATTCAGGCTTTCAAGTTTAGCAATTATAAGTATTGAAGAAGATATTTCTAACAACTTGGGTGTAACTTGATTAGGGAATTTCCTATTAAAAAAGCGAGAAAAGTAGATTTTAGTTTTTTAGTTTAGTTTAATTATTTTTGTTTTTTTTCCTGAATGTATTTTTATTTTATTCTTTTATGTATTTGTTAATAAATACTTTGTTATTTTACTATAAAATTTGTTATATGTTTATTGAGAATAATAAATTATGAACTCCCTACCGACAACCTAATTTTTTACATTAATGGGAGCGGCAAATTTAATTCTTGCACCCGGGCGGCAGATACCCTAGGCTCGGCCCTGTTTACATACATACATATATATACTTCTACAATCGAGAATCTTTTTAATTTATATTGCAGGCTAACAACTTGTTATAAAATCGCATAAACTTTTATAATTATATTATAAAGTAAATATGATGCTGTAAAATGTAGAATTATTTATAGGTACTTAATTAAATTTTATCTTATCACCAAATTTTATATAAAAATATTTGTATAGTTAATAAACTTTATGTTATTTTCGAAAAGAACAATTTTAAACTTATTAATTAATTTTGCCAAATAAATAGATACACCTATTTTTCATTTAGTTAATTTAATTTTGTAATATTAAACAATAACAATTAATTACAAATAAATAAGCAGAATTTAATTAAATATTGTGTTAATAAATAATAAATACAGTTCGGAAAATTTACCTTGTAATGTAAAAACAATATTTTGCAAAACAAAATGTTTTAATATTAATTCAATGCTATTTTAAAAAAAGTGGAAACATTTATCAGGGGCGCACGTAGGGGGGTTAAGGTTTTGAACTCCCCCCTAAAATGTGAGAAGCAGTTGTGGTTTTAGATTTTTTTTTAATATTAACAAGCTTATGAGCTTTATACTTGTCTTTTACAGTAAAAGTTTTACTTACCAAACGGTTTTCTGTTTACGTCACTAGTATTTATTTTTAAATAAAAATGTTAAATATCGACACAATCCATTTAAGGATTTTTTTTTAATAAGTTTTCTATTTTTAGAAAAAAATTATATTATATTAAATATTTTTTACATTATTTAAGAAGCCATATACATTTGGCTTTAATTTATTTAAAATGGAACTTATTTGGAATATTAAAAAGTATATAATTTATTTACTAATTTTATAACTACGTATTTTGTAAATTTCGTGTGTTTAAATATGCATTCTTGAAAAATCTATAAACATTACATACATATATATTTATTTATTTAAAAAAAGCTCATTTAAAAACTAATGATTCATATCTGATAAAATTTTGCGCAAATGTTATATTTATTTTATCTTATTCAAAATAAAAACATCTGATTGAGTCATTTCAAACAAAACTACTGATAATAATAACATGATTCACTGTTAGATTATTAGATTATATACATATGTATGTATTTATAACATAATTTTGTTTATATATTGATCATACGATTTTATGTAGTTAATTGTATTTTTCATTTATTTTAGTTAAATAATATTTTTTTTAATATTATTTATAAGGTTTTGCATAAAAGATATACAAAGTGTCCACAGATAGATACACTTTGTCAAAAGTATTTCATTATATTACCATTGAGTAAGGAAGTTCCTTACTCAATGATATTACATTAATTACATAACACCCGGTATACGTTTAATTACATAAAATTATTATTATTATTATTATTAATAAAAACTTTGGAGTAAAATTAAATTTTATTGAAATTATTAATTTACGAAATTCATTATATTAAATAAAACTAATATAATACCTATCTATAATTTATTTTAGTTATTTGAATATTTATAAAAAAAATGTTTTTGATAAATATTTTAAATTGTAAAACGCAAATTATCCAATAATAATAAATATGTATAACATATATTTGTAGTTTATCAGTGGATTTTTAAATTGCTTGAACATTGTTTTACACATTGTGTTTTGCACATTGTATACATTGTAATAATATTTTGCAACAGAGTAGACACAATAATTTGCTAATATAAAAAACAAAAATTGAATAAACATGTTTTTTATTTACTTGTATCAATAACTTTTGTAGGTATTCAAATAATTTAATAATTAATTATATAAAATATTTATAACTAACTGAAAAGCCGCAAATTTTCTCGCGTGTTTTTAAGGAAAAAAAAAAGGGTGATTTATAATAACAAAAAATATTATTTAAAAACAATTCTTGCACAGATTTAACCTATGAATATACGATGTTTTAATTTTCTACACGTTAATTTATTTTTTAGATCCAACCCATTGTTTAAAACATTTTGCTTTTGCCTATTGACAAGTTGTGGCTTTATGGCGCTTTAGTCACGGGCTGAAGTTAGTTTTAAGCGAGGGGTATAAAACTGTGTTTTGATTTATCCTTATCAGTCGTTATCAATAAGGAAAAATTTTTATCAATAAGAAATTTCTCTTAGTGAAGCCTTATAAGGCTATAGCCGTTAAGTCGTATGCAATTTTTAATTTTAAAAATTCAGTGGTTTATCCCTCGGTTTTAAGTTAGTTAAAAGTTGACAATAGTTAAAATAAAGTGCTACTCTTTTAAAATAATACTAAATATATAAATTATTTTATTATCTCATACAATAGTTTCTCAACGCCAATATTTAAAAAGTTTATATGAACATTATACTGACTTTTTAATTTCGCCGCAAGTAAACTAGATTTAGGTAACTTAATTTCTTTAAACATTTTCTTCACTTTTATTGTGAAAAACTGTTGTTAGTCCATTTTCAAGGGATACATTTCTAGTTACACATACAAATTTAACATTTTCACCGGCGCGCGTATAATGCAGATATTCAAGAATGGTTACTTTATTGTTTTATATATGTCGCTTTACATATACAAATATTTAATTTAAATCAATTCTGGATTCTCGATATGTCGAAGAAAAAGTATGGTATAAAACTCATTTATAAACTTTTATAGACACTCATTAAATTTAACATTTGGAAGCTTGCACGTACCTAATTAAAATTCGTGACTAAAATGGAGTTTATCAAACTTAATACATAAATAAAATAAACTCACAATAAAATAGTAAATATGAATAATACAACAGTCTTTATTAAAATAATAAAAATAGATTTAATTTTGTTGCCCAATGTAACATTTTCCTATTTAAATGTATAAATAATGAATTTGCATAAATAGAAATAAACCTTTTTAGATAAATTTTTAATGAAAATGGTGCATTCGAAATAAAAATTCCAGATTTACTTCATCTTATAAGATGCATACAAAATGCACAGTGGTTAATTTTTAAAATATATATAGGGTAATAAAATTTAAGTATTATTTGTTTTACTTAAATTTTACAATTCATTGATAAATAAAAATATTATAGCCAAATAAAACATTGTTAAAGCTTTGTTGCGAAACGTTACTTATTTTAGAATCACTGTGCACTGGCAATATATATTTCAGTGGGCTCTAATTTGTTTGTCGTTTTATTGCAGGGATACTAAAGGGCCGTTTGAACCTGAATTATTCAGCCAGCAAGGACATGCACACCGAGCACCGAGCTTTGCACATCATCCAGCCCGGACCAGACTTGTCCGGAAACTACACCTGTCTAGTGTCCACTTTCAATAACGAAGATCAAAAGACTAAGGGGATGCTCGTACTCGGTAAGACGTTTAAGACCACTTGTCTGTCTTAATTAATACCACTTTAAAGACAAAGGTGTGGGACTTATTTTGACTTAAAATATTTGGAATTATATAAGGAAAATTGTAAGACTAATCTTTTACGGCTTAAGTCTAACGTCAACCAATCAAAGTGCTTAAAATGGACAAGCACTGTGATTAGTTGACGTAATACGTAAGCCGCAAAAGATACATTCGGCAACAACTGTAGACCGGGCTTTAAAAATATTACTAAATAAATTCATAGCATGTACAGAGTGATCATAAAGTGGAATATTAATTATTTGTCCAAAAGAGAAGTACCTACTTTTTATTTTTCATTTTAGAACAAAATAAAAGTGTTCAGAATTAAAAGTTATTATTTATGTTATTGAAATTCATTTTTAACACAAGCCAACAAAAGTTTTTTATATGAGTGTTGCTAAGCGCGCGAACTCGCTTATGCGTGTATATTATATATATCGTAACTTTCTTAATATAAATAAATGGTTTCTAATATAACTTAATTTTTCACTTGTTTTAACTCAAATTTTATTGTTTATTTATTTCATCCTTTAATGTGCTTCCAACAGGCACCTCGCCTGTACAGGAGTACACACTAACAAACACAGCCCTGCTGGGATTCGAACCTACGACCTTGTAGTCCGCTGTAAGCAATAAACAATAAGTAGGGCGAGGGCGGCCATTAATAAATACTTTTAGATATACATTTCAGGATTTTTTAATAGTAGGCAATGGATTTAAACTTTAACTAATTAGTATAATTATAAATTAATATAAACAACATTTTCGTTTGAAGGATAAGCAATAAAAAATTAATTTGGTATTAAAATAAAATAAAGATTAATGTTTAATTTTAAACTTTTATGGAACGGATTTTTATGCAAATACAAATTTAAATAAGGACAAAATTTAAGATTTTAAAACTAAATTATTTACATTATTTAAGTAACTAGGGTGCATGTATTATTTTTAAATAAAGTCAAAATGGTATATTTGCACGAGCGTAGCTTGCGTGAGATTTTTTAATAACGAATTGCATACTATTTTTTTTACAACAAATACAAACATTAAAAAATTCTTAAAACCAAATAACCTTACTTTTTAAAGATTATTTTAGTCGCTTTATTTTAACATTTGACAACTCTCAACTAACTTAAAACCAACTTCAGCCAGTGACTAAAACTCCATGGATAATTTTTGTATTTTTGACTAGATGTGACTTATGCATAAGTCACATCTAGTCAAAAATACAAAAATTATATATAATTTATAAAAAAATCCTATGTACTGTATTTCACCTACGATCTGGTCTATATTAGTTATAAATAAATATTACGCATTGGCATTGAAATTATACCTACCTACTCACGTTTTAAAGGGAGACGTGTTAATAAAAATTTAAGTAAAAAAATAGGATTGTCCAATATGTGAATAATAATAATAACTTATAAACAATTTACTTACTTACCGACTATTTAATTTGTTTGTATTTAACTGTTATTATTCATTTCTTTCAGTGCAAAAAATGCAAAATAAATAATTCTTTATTTTAAAATATGAAATTAATTATATTGCACAATATTGTAAATTTTATTTTTTAATATTTATTAAAAAATAAAATTTACCTAAACTTAAAATTTTAAATTTTCCAATTTTACTTTTTTGTATTTGTATGCATAGGCACCAAAAACACTGTGGTATAGGTTTTAAAAATAAAACACTATTTTTAAAATAGAAATTTATATCATACATTTTGGGAAGACACGATCAAATAAACAACATCTTTAAAAATCAAACAAAACATACATTCTTAAATAAAAACACAAATAAACATTTTTCGTTACGTTTAATAAATTAAAATTCATAAATAAATTTTGGTTATTTGTACTTTTATAGTTTTTAGTGAAGTATTTAAATAAATGCAAAATTTTCTAAAATAGGTACTAAAATCATGATATGAATAAACAAACAGGCTTATAAAGTTTGTTTTTTTGTATAGATAATTTATAAAAATAGAGTATTTCGTAATGATTACGTAACAAGATACATACAAAGCGATGCAAAATTAATTACAACTATGTCAGGGTCAGTCTATTAGTTATTCTTAAATGGTTTTCAAAACCATATCAATAAAAAAATAAACACATTGTTGTGTTTTTTTGGAAGGCACTATTGCGAGTATGTTTTTGTTCATGCATTTAATTACAGGATGAAACTAAAAATAGAGTAGTAAATAAAGTGTTATCATCTTTTGACCTTTATTTTGATATGTGGTAGGTACTTAATTCAGTATTTTAAAGAAAGGTCAGTTTTAGAAGAGATTTTACTTTTAATTTATTTTATGTTTACTTTTTAGGCATCTAACTGTACCTTTTTATTTTATAGAATATATTACTTTTAGGTGCATTGAACTGCAGTCAACGTATATTTTTGATTGCTTTTTCAATTTACATTTCCAATGAAAAGCAATTGAATTTTTATTTAGTTAGTTAGTTAGATGAGTAAACTGCAGATTGAATTTGTTTTTTATTATTTTACATATTGCTATTTACAATAAAATTTTAATCTGTTAGCTATAAAAACAACCGTATACTTTATAGTTAAATACTAAATAAAAATCAGTCTATCCTATAGGAGCCCGATCGGAGTGCCTTAACAAGTTTAACGTTATCCTCGTTTTTGACTGGATTGGCGGCCAGTGTTCTGGGAAGGCAGTTTGGCACCAAAATTATAACGAAAAGTGCTGCAATATGTAAATGCCAGTAAAGTTTATTGTATATTGCAGCGGACGCCCAAAATTCCAATAATATAAATGGGAACGTTACATAGGCCATCATGAATCTTGTCACGAGGAAAGTCATTATATCGTACATTTTTTTCATTTCTACATTTGTTACAAAGTAACTCCGCACATTTTTTCTAATTATTCTTGAGGCTTGCGTGAATATGGCCCCTCCAAAGAACGTCATGTAGTATCCAGGGTGGAAACCATGCCACACAGCGGAGAGTCCGTAAGTCAATAAAACTTGATTTTTCTCAACTCTTTCGTACACAATGAATCTCAACCACACATTGGTGCCTTTATTCCATGCTGTGATCGCGTCCTTTAGACTGGTGGCAAATTCAAACCCATAAATATCTATATTGGAGACTTTATCCCATTTAGCTTGCCTCGTTTCACTGTTTAGACCATTAAATCCAATACCGGAATTATTACAAATGGCATCAGCGATAATCCACGCGAAATAATATTTAAATCTCGCCAGCATTGTGCAAATAGACAGATAGAAAAATTTGTAGCTTATTGTCGTGCTCTCCAAAAACCATTCGGTTTTTAACTTGGCGATGGGGAAAAACGGGTTGCAAATTACGAAAATTGCACAGCATGAGCAGGCAATTAACACTTTTTTTAATACGATTTTGGACGGACTATAATTCGAAGAACCATCGCTGCCTTCAATAAAACCCATATAGTCGTTGTAGTATATAATAGGGCCTGCCATTACAGAAGGGAACAACAATACGTAACTAAAATATTCCAAAGGGGAGGGAATTGCAGTTATGGCCAATTTTTTCTGGGTTTCGGTCATCGCTTCCTCTGTTTTTGTGTAGCCGTCGTGCACGCTAAAGGCCAGGCTAGTTAATTTTTGCACCAAAACCATCAAAGGGCCGCTAATATCGATTCTGGTCCCGCCATAATTTGCATACATTCGGTAAACATGCATCACCGAAAGATAGGTCATGGACACTGCAAAAACCCAAACGTGGAGCACTTGTGGGCGTTGAGTTATTAATATGACATAACCTGCTGCCGATAAAGATAACAAATGGAGGGTTTGCACCCCGTAGCAGAAGTAAATGAGGGAGAAACCGACAATCAGTCCATATAAGTGTCTAATTACGGTACCTGTGTCACTTGGGCGTAAAAACTTCCGATACACCGAGGCCAGCAGCAGAGCAACAAGTTGGGTCATAAAAAAGTTCACTTGGTCGATCGGCACTCCGGTTTTCTTGCTTAATCCGGCGAAAAGCCGCGAACCCTCGTAATTCTCGATTGTGGTTGTCATTTTTCTTATGTAAACAAACAATTATAACCTTACAAACTTTACACTTGTCAGTCTTTTCACTTTAACTATGCGTACGCACTGTTTACTTAATTTTAAAAACTTTTTTACTACGAAGAATTTTTCGTTTCATCTTTTTAATTTGTCTCGACTCTTTAACACTATTAAGACTGATGCAGCTGACAGTTAAGAGAACGCCTATCCGGCTGCCATCTGCAGATCAAAATAAGTACTGCACCAAAAATGCGTTGTTTAACCGTTTTATATGTCAGCGTGTAATTACTCGCAATTTCGTCACGCCTTCGGATAAAAATATCCCATTAGGAGACACAATGCATTATGACACATCGAACGACCGGCAATAATTGATGGTAATATTGTTACGAACTTATTTATTAATTTCAGCGACCTTTACGATGACATCTACTGGGATTTTTTTAAAGCTGGCGCGAGGTGGGGAAGGTCACTGTTGGTACCGAACTGTGTAAAGATCCATCTGCTTGAGAATCATCTATTTAGGAAGTGCACTTAAAATATTTAGAAGATTCTTATTGGATTTAAAACAATATTAATATTAGAAGTTTTGTTATAATAATAGCTATTATAGTAACAGCATATATAAATTTTATTTTATTTTAAAACCTATTTAAAAAAAATTGCAAACCTTTAGTAGTTAAGAGCTATTCCACGTTACTCGGCAAATTTTGCTGCATTCGTAATATTAAAACATTGTTACATTGGTTTTTTTAATTTCATATTATACTAAGCATCATTGAGACGCATTTGCGTTTCATAATATCTTATACGTACTTGCGTTAGGTACGCAAATAAAGGCGAGATTTTTTTACAAATGACAAACACAATATTTTATTATTATTAAAACGCCTTCTTCTTATAAGCTGTTATTGTTTAAGCGAATTTTCTTTGTTGATAATGACAGATCTGTCGACGTCAACGTCAAGTTGACGGCGTATAAAATATTTTTTCTACTTCCACCTTTAAAATGTCCTTTATCGTACATGTTTCCATGACACTAAGTGACCCTTTAAATACACATTGACAAGTTGTGGCTTTATGGCGCTTTAGTCACGGGCTGAAGTTAGCAACAGGTTTTTAGTCACGGGCTGAAGTTAGTTTTAAGTTAGTTGACAGTTGTCAAATGTCATACAATCGTTAAAATAAAGTGTCTTTCTTGTAAAATAATACTAAATGTGAAAATTATTTTATTATCTCAATACAAAAATACAAAAGCAGTTTCTCAACGCCAATATTTAAAAAGTTTATATAAACATTGTACTGATCTATTAATTTCGCCGGCAGTAAATTAGATATAACTTAAAGTGGGGTTCTGACTCCACCGTGAAATGCTAATAAAACATTTTCTTTACTTTCACTGTGTCTCAAGATCTATATATATTATCTATGGTTATAACACATAAAAATTTGACATTTGACAGTAACACAGATTCCCCTATTTATTTATAGATGGAGCTCTATTCAAATACTTAATTTAAATTATTTTTAGACAATAATAAGTATTTGTCGTAGAAAAATGTATAAACTCAATAAGCACTCGATTGCAAGCTCGCTCGTGCCTAAATTAAATTCGTGTCTAAAATGGCGTTTATCAAACTTGATACATATTATACTATATTTTTCAAGCGATCAATAATTTTCATTATTCATGAGTCCAAATAGAAGAGCTTTATAATAATACTAGTTCAAAAGTCAAACTAGCATGTCAGTCAGAAACTTGAAAAAATATTAAAAAAAAATAGTAAATAAAACTCGGCAGGGAAATCTTATTGATTATCTAATTACCTCGGGCACAATGTAAACTTGGCGATAATATGTGCTTTCTCCGCCTGGTCTATAATATAATATTTCATGCCTTTTTGACATTTTAACTTTTATTTTTTGACAAAAAAAAATGTTTGTTTATTTTGTGAGAATAATATATTAAAGTAGCATGTATTTAGGCAAGGTATCACTTACTTAATAACTAACTCACAGGTGAATTTTATTTACTATTGTAAACTAAAAATAAGTTTTTTTAAGCCAATATTGGCTCATTTATTTGTCAATTTTTTTTTTAAATAATATTAAAGAAATTAAAGCATCCTTTACCAAATTTACAAAAATTTCTAAAAATACAAAAACTGTCGAAAATTGAAATTATGTAAACCAAAATTTTAATTCATCGAATTTCTTAGCCAGTTAATTCAAAGTGCGCAACATTTATTTAAGAAAAAGAAATACTGAAATTATCATTATGTCGAAATTAATTTCTATTATTACTCGTCGACATAAAAATCAATTTAGAAATTAAAGTGATAAAGTTTCTTATTTGACAAACAAATATTTTGCACGAAATATTTGTTTTAATATTTAAATGTTTTTAATATTACTTAAAATGTTATTACACTAACAAGAATTGAAATCTATTTTATTTATATTATTATTTTAAAAAAAATTTAATATAAATTTACTTTTAATACAAATTATTTTGTTGTTTAAAACACTTTGAAACAATTTTTATACTGGAATAAAGTTGTAGTATAAATGTTATTAATTATTATGTTATTTAAATATAGCAATACGAATTTTCATTTAAGCACCTTTCTGCCATATTTCTTTTAATCAGATTTTATTTAGATAAAAAATTCAATGTTATTTGTATTTTTATTTTTTGGAATAAATATTATGTACCTTGAATTTTCTGACTGAAAAATTCGATGAATTAAAATGTTGGTTATCACTCGTAAACAGAATTTTAATTTGGCGCTAGTGCATAGTGCGGTTGTGTTACGTACTACTGCCACCAAGCGAAATTACATAACGTCGAAGGTACAGGAGCTCGAAAATAAATTAGGCAACAGTGCATTCAAATTTAGTGTTGCCATTTTATTTACTTACCTGTTTTGCTTTCCTTAATTTATTACTTAATTTATTAATTAATTTATTAAAATAAAAATAAAGAAAATCCATTTTACTAAAATATTGGTTTTTATTGACTAAAGCATAAAAATAATACAATATATTTAATCCACCATTAATTACATTCATGTTTATGGATTATTTTCAATTACGTCTTATATTCTTTTTCTATGCTTATTACTGTACAGGTAAAGTAGAAACCACTAATATATGAACGTGACTCATCGGGTGCCGAACATATCTCAGACATGCTAGCAGTAATGTTTTACTTGTCTTGTACATTCGATGCAGCGGTAAATGTACTCACACGTAGGTTTTTAAGCATCCGGTCTAAAATGCGCCATCTGTGATGTAAAACTGCCTAGGTGTTGGACAAAGATGGACATATGACGCTTGTGTCCTAGCTTGTTACTTAATTTTATTGGAAGTCAGTAGAGTTCGTGTTTTAGGAATTTATTTTATTTTATTACATAGTAAGGAAACCAACTTTACCGTCGGCCATTTGTTTTTATATGTCATATGATCTTTGTTTTTGCATATCGTGTTTCTAATGTGTGTTTACGGATTAATAATCGTTTTAAACGTTGTAGTAGTAGTGGTTTATATTATGTAACACAGGTAGATGTCGTATAAAAATCCTTACCTAGAAATTCTAGGCTAGAATACAAAAATATTTTTATTATACATATAAATTTTGTACTAGTATTATTTTAATACATTCTGAAGAAGCTACTGTGTAGCGAAACAATTGTCAATATTTAATAAATTTCGTGAAACTAACGCAAGTTGTTTTTATATCCACACAATTTAAATATCTTTCACTTTGTACCTGACCTGCGTAAACATTTTTGTTTTTTGTCACCAATTCTGAAATATTTGCGTTTACAGTTAAAAGAATAGTATATTCTGTAACAAGTTTGACGGTTTCACGAGAGGGGAATATGCAATTCCAAACGTGTTTCAGACTATACTAAGAATTTAATTGGAAGAAAGTGAGGTTGAGTCGGTCTAAAAATTTGTTATTAAAATCAGAGATGTCGCCACGAGTGTACGTTCTGTAATCAGATGATAGAATATTTCATTAAAGTTAAAAGAAAAGTTTATTTATTAATTAGTTTTTAAGAAAATTACATTTTATTTAATTATCGTAGATGTTAATTATGTTAGATGTTAATTATTTAACTTTAAAAGCAAATATATCATAAGTATAGCAACCAACATTACACTAAAATTTTTTTACAAACGGGACAGCACTGGACCGTGACCTTCGATAGATTGCTTCGTACGAATGTGTCGGATGAGTCACGTTCATATTAGTGGTTTCTACTGTAGTCGGCTCGGACACGTAACGAGTAGGACAATTCTGGTAATTATATAAATATCTTCTTTTGGAAGATTCCTATTGCATAGACAACTAACCAAATAATGAACCACAATTAAATTGTGTATTAGGAGAGTCTGAAATCCATATCTAAATTATTTCGTATAAAGTGAGGTTAGCCAGCAGGGCAGTCTTGTTGAAATGCACCCCTTACATAATTTAATAATTATAATCATGTCGATATACATTATTGATAGCACTGAAAATTTTGGACTGCACTGTTGTCTAATTTATTTTCGAGCTTTTGTACCTTTGACGTTATGTGATTTTGCTTGGTGGCAGTAGTACGTAACACAACCACACTATGCACTAGCGCCAAATTAAAATTCTGTTTACTAGTGATAATCAACATTCATCGAATTTTTGATCGAGAAAATTTGTCTTGCGCTTACAGATTTAAATCTTGTCTAATTTTTATTCCAAAATAAATATTTTACTTTAAGTTAATTTCAAATAAATAAATGAAATGGTATTATTTAGATATAAAAACCCTTTTTGAATAGAAACAAATATTCATTCAATAAAAACTGAGGCTTAAAAATATAGATTACACCAGAATGATGTAAATATATATGGAAACTTATTTGATACACCAAAAAATAAATTGGTAGATTTTAATTTATAATTAAATTTATTTTAATATTTTTATGAACGTTTATATTTACTAGGCAATTTTTAATTTCGGTAATTTTTATTTTGAGTTAATTTTTTGATGTCATAAAAAAGAAAAAAGGCGTGCCATACTCAACTGCTCAACAATTGAACTGGATATTAGAAAAATTTTAAAATCGTCTGCCTAAATAGTTACAATAAAATACTTCAAGTATCTACATTGAATAATAGAAAGAAGTTAAAAAACATTCTCCATAACTTTCAGAATTTTGCCAATATTACATTTTTAATATTTTTCTGTCAGTTTTCGAAGAATGTGCCATCGCCTGTTTGACATAGTTTTGGGACACCCTGTATATTTTTAGTTTTCGTTTACATAATGCAAAACAATAAAGCGAAGCGGATCCCGCGGGTTGACAGCTGGTATATAATAAAGCTTTGTTTAAGTAGAAAAATCAGGCTATAAAATGCTAAAAAAATATCCATTAGAATTAACACTTTATGGGCCACTTGTTACCTGAGAATACTAATATACTATAGTATCTTTAATTCTAATGGTTTTCAATTTCATTATTTTATAGCCTTATTTTCCTACTTAAATGAAGTGTTATCATTGTGATTTTATTTTATATAAATATTCGGAATTATCTTAAATGACGCTTTAAACCCCAACTATGCCCATTAGGGTGTGCCAAAAAAACTCGATATTTTTTTTTCTTGCTCTCCACCCAAAATATTGTAGAATATGTCCGAACAAATATCCTGTTAAAAGCGGAGCTCATAATTTCAATTTTAAGAGGTCCTTCATCGAATCTGAAGTTTTGCCGCTTAAATAGCATAGAAAACTGACTTTTTTACCTTATTTATTCTTGCAACCTAGGAATAAATTTTTTTTTCATAAAATCCATGACCAAATCCTACAAAGCATTAAATTTGGACGAAAAAATCTTATTAAGCCGAATTTCTATTTTCATTATTTGATTTTTTACAGAGCTTTAAATTTTAAATTTTATGTTTTTTGCCTTTTTCAGCTAAACTATTGAAGTTAGACGAAAAAGTCAAATGGCAATTTTTTAGCTTGTCTGATGGACCACAAAAAAGTTATAGGCGAATTTTTGTATCGTCAATATTCTAAAAGTTACAGGCGTATAAAGTCATCATTTTTGTATTATTAACTTTAAATTTAAAGCTCTGTAAAAAATCAAATAATGAAAATAGAAATTCGGCTTAATAAGATTTCTTTGTCCAAATTTAATGCTTTGTAATGGCTTTTATGAAAAAAAAATTCTTCCTAGGTTGCAAGAATAAATAAGGTAAAAAAGTCAGTTTTCTGTGTTATTTAAGCGGCAAAACTTCAGATTCGATGAAGGACCTCTTAAAATTGAAATTATGAGCTCCGCTTTTAAGAGAATATTTGTTTGGACATATTCTACGATATTTTGGGTGGAGAGCAAGAAAAAAAATATCGAGTGATGCCCATGAAATAAAAATAATTTTTCCCCAAAACTTATTAAAAGTAATTTAAAATAAAAATTACCCTACCAATAAAGTGTATTTTTTTACATAACCTGTTGGCTGTATTTATAGCTTAAATTGAATTTAAACATTCCTACTTTGGGAATACAGTGAGCATCAACAGTTTATTTATTTAAATCTAAAGACAATGATTAAGTTAAAACTCTAAGTATTTAATTCTGACAACACAAAATGAAAAAAAATTATATATAAAAATAGGAATTTAAAAAATGTATGGGTATAACTCTCATGTTTCGACAGATGCTATGTAGAAAAGAAAATAGTGCCACCATAAGTTTCTTAGTTAAAGATCCCTTGAAAACAAACTTTAACATTTATTTTCCTTGTAATCGTTGATAATTATCTCGAAAACAAAAAGAATATAAATCAGGGGGCCGAAAAACACTGTAAAAAAACTCTACTGAATAATTGTTATTGTTTCAGTTCCTGCAAAAAGCTTCGAGTTAAGCCAAGAAAACACGGGCGATGGTATGTTGCAAGTGATTTGTTATGCCGAGGGCGTTTTCCCCAAACCGAACATGACGCTACTGATGGGAAATAGGTAGGAAAACAAATATAAATTATCTTATAAGTCATTCGAACAATTTCTCCAGACACATCTACCTAAAAAATATTTAGGAACAAGGGCCATGGTCATGGCCATAACATAAATTACCTCTACTGTTATTTTCTTTATCTATTTTCACTTCCGTATAAGAAGTTTCTTTAAATTTATTCATTTACAAAAAACTAATAGTTCAATTTTCCCTTGCTTAAGAGAAAATGTAATTACGGTTTCTTAACTTTTAACACAACTCGTGCATTTTAAGTACAAAAATAAATTAAAGAAAGATGCTTTTGTTAGAATATCGTCTATTTTGCTATTAAGTCTTTTAAACGAATAAACAAGGGTTTCAGTTAAAAATTTACATAAAGTAATTCCATTTGTAGTTCGTGGTCATTATCATAAAAGGCAACCATAATTAAACACACTGCCTCGTTCTGTAAAACTCCATTTAACAGCACAATACAAAAATTACCCGATTTAAATAAAAACATTTAACAAGATTTATGACCCTCTAGGAAAAGTTTCGCAAAACCTAACAATCTGTAGAAGCTAGACGGAACCCAAGATAAGTATTCCAATAAATTTGGTTTCTACACTATGGAAATTGATATTATTTGTTTTCTACACTATGGAAATTGATATAATTTTATTAAATTAAATCAATAAAATAAAGTTTGTTTCTCGATTAAAAATAATGAAAAGTATATTATATTGTAATTATGTTGTCATACATATAGACTCCAGAAAAAAGTAAATTTCCCCAAAGAAAAATTACATATCTAACTCTCTAAAAATGAATACCTAAGTCAAAAATGACTAATTGTGCGAAAACGGAGCAACTAATATTTCTCGTCAACAGCAAATTAATATTCCGGACATTTTGCAGTCAATTACTATGTAAAATTGTCTGCTAAATCTGAAAATGTCGTCAAAAGTTATAAAAGTTAAACAGTTTTTGAAATATAGTCAATAATAATAATAATAATAATAATAATAATAATAATAATAATAATAATAATAATAATAATAATAATAATAATAATAATAATATTTATTGATCATACAGTTTACAGCAACCAAAAAAAAAAAATATCTTAAAAAATTATCCTGAAGAAACTATTTTACAGAATATTATTCTTTCTCTAAAACAGAGTCTGCAGCTTGTTTTTTAACATCTTGGAACATTTACAATAAGATGCAATAGACATAACTTTATTATAACATTTAATTCCCATATAAATAAAAGAAATTTGACACACAGAGAGCCTTTAAAGTGGCAAAGCTAACTCATTTTGACTTATTGTTGAATAACCTTGTACATATGTTACTATGAGTAGACATGACTTTTTATTTTTAAAAATGTATAAAATCAAATGTAATATGTCAAACAGGAAATAGTTAAAATTTTGTATTTACAAGAATATGTTTGACTTTTCTTATCCATGCACCTTTTTTGCATTTTAAAAACTTTGTTAAAATAGTGTTACTCCAAAATATAATGCCATATGCAAGATGTGACTGACCTACTCCAAAGTACGTAAGACGCAGTACTGAAAAGGTTACTGACCTTTGTAATGACTATATACAAGCAGTACCATCTGTATATCTGTAAATCTGCATGCAGAATAAGTTGCTCATTTATATTTATTTATATTTGTATTTATATTAAAAACATTTACCAATATTAAAAATAGAATTGGCCCCAATATCGATCCTTTAGGTACTCTGGATATATCCGATTTTTCACCATTTTGTCTAATAAATATAATTCTATATTTTCAAGTTTGAGCCAGAAAATAATCCAACAACATGCTGTTTTTTATTTAAACTTTCAAGAATAACATTAAATGCACTCTCTACTGCTGTGTTAGTGGACTTATTTTTTCTTAACCCATTTTGAAATCCAAAAGTAGTTTGTTAGATTATAAAAAATTCTGTAAACAATTGTAATACAAAGTATCTAATATTTTACCAAACTGATTTTGAAAACTTACTGGTCTGTAATTTAGAGGGTTAGATTTGCTTCCGCTATTTTTATAAATTGGTACACATTTTGAACACTTAAGTGCAGAAGGATACTCACCATTCATAAATGATTCGTTGACCAAATACGGTAAGGGCTCTGCAATAAGTTCTTATTTGGAATTTTTCCATTTACATCTTTAATACCGGGTGTACATTTTTTACTTGTTTTAATAATAGTACATACAATTTCTTGTGAAGTAACCAGCTTTAGACAAAAGTATCTAAAAAATTTGGGGGTAGTTGAATTATGCGTACGATTTAGAGCATTATTATTGGAGATGAGATTTTAGGTTGCAAAATTTATAAAAATAGGTACCTAAGTAGGTACTTTTTTCTTGTTTTAGGTGAAACCAACTTTTAGTTGGTAAAATAATTTAATTTATTATTGCATAAAATTGTATTGAACAAGATTTTTATGATTTGCTGTGAAAATACATAAAAATTTTAAATAAAACATGTTAACATAAGGTTGATTGGAAAAACTTGAAATCTTATGGAAAAGCATGGAATGTCATATTCTCGTCGCTGATCCCGAATGCCAGTACCAACTACTCCCAACCAACTAACATTACCAATCCTGTACAACCAAAATAACTTATGGCATCCGAATACGACCAATTTTGTTCATATCTGTTTAAATCAGAATTTAGGTAAAATTACACTAGTTTAGGTAGTAAAAAGTAAAAGTCAGTTCCTTTTCTCTTGAAAATGAAAATTTTGGTAAAATAGGTTAAATAATGTCAGGCTCAAATAAAATCATTTTCTTCAAAACGGATTTTATTCCATTGCATCTAAAGTTATGATTAGCGTAATAACACTAAAATTCAATCTCTAATTTTTATCTTTAAGAATATTTAAAAAAGAATTATTGAATATATTACTAATTTCCTTAGAATGACTTATTATTTTGTGATTTTATTTTATTTCAGATATTTTTAAATTTTTATATTTGGTTTCGTTATTTATAATTTTCCAGCTTTCATAACTAATATTCATCATTCATCATTAAATTTATTTTTTGTCAGCTTTAAGTTTTTTAAATTTTTATTTAACAAAGTGTATTAAGAATTATGAATTGTTTAAGACAATTTATCCATTTTAATTAACAGAGACTGCATTTCCTTTAAATCTCCATATAATATGAAAGAGACTATATATGAAAAACTGCTCTACTTACATACATTTTTACGGTATTTTCGGATTCAGGGACAATTTTGCATAAGTATTGGCTATTAAATGTTCTAGATTAAATTGCTGTTTACTACACTGTTCAAAATTTCATGACCATTTTAACACCAAATTAACACCATACATGGTCTATATCGATACAAACCAAAATGGTGTTAAATATGGTTCGTTGGTCCGGTGTAAATTCAAATACTAAAATAGTGTTAATTTAACTTTCACACGGTATTAAAATAAATTTTACCTGTTGTAAATTGAACTTCTTTTCAGTGTTAAATATTATGTGTTTGTGGTCAAATTAAATCATACACACAGGAAAAAGGAAAAAAAAGGAAACAGGAAATTCCTTGACGCATTACTAGTATATTACCAGTGGTATTATTCCAGAAAACGGAACCTTCAACTCGCTAGAGATAATGTTTTTAGTGCGTTCCACCAACTTAACAAGTATTGACAGCTGTTTCCACCTATTTAAGGTCTCTTTAGTATCGAACAACTTGTAGTGTCGCACCAAAGCAAAGGACTACTCTAGCTTATATATTCTTTATGTAAGTCAACAGAGGCGAGATTTAAGAACATCACGTGATCCACACCGCCTTTGCCGCGATCGGTACACACTATGCAACCGGTAATGCACGGCAAATTGTTTTAATCGTTTTAACAAAGTGCTTTAGGTTGAAGTAACTCTTATTTTACAAACAACATATTTAGTAAAGTGAAGTTCACTTAGTGAACCATACAGCGGGTTATAAAGTTTTCTGGGTTAATTTAACCAATTTAAAAAAAAATCACTATCTGGTTTAGTACCGTCAGATTAATCTTTGTTTATATTAACCTTCCCCCAGTTGATAAAAATAAAAAAAATACAAACATAAATACTTATGGGTCAACTAAATTAATATTGTTAAATTAACTATTCCTTTTTTTTCTGTGTAGGTGTACCTACTTCTCAAATATTTTTAGATAAACACCGTTTTGGTGTTTGCTGTATATAACATTTTCAACCATAATTCATGGTGTTATATTAACACCACTTGGTGTTGGATTTTGACACCATTTTAAGATTACTCTTTACACTACAGATATTTTAAACAGTGTACAGTTCACTTTGAAAACTAGTCATTTTTGACTAATCCATTTTTAGATATCTTTAGAATATCTTTTCTATTTTCCAGTTTAGCATTGTCAAATTATGCAGATACTGAGTAATCTGGAAAATAAACTTAATTACAACAGATTACACACAAATTTATGTTAGTTTTATGTACCTATTCGCCTAGTATATTTTAATTTTTCCTTTCCTGTCATTTAATTACATTAAGCTTTATGCAGTTATATGCTTTATTTTAAGAGTTATCCTATCTTTTATTGAAATAAAACTTCGTTTATTGATGGTATAAAATCTATTTATATTTCTGTTTTGTATACACTGATTTCACTGGTCGATAACATAAAATTGTTTGTTTGCCACAGTGCAGCCAATAACTAAAAGTAATAAATTTGGGTGCGCTTATTTATTTTGCTCAATTAGCTCTTTTTGCGCTATTGTAAAAATCTTTTTTTTTTCGACCTACAAATAAATAATATTAAATAATAAATATTATTAAAATTAAATAATAATAAATAATATTAAAATTTTAAAATATTCCTATTTTGTTAATCAAATACTAAAACCAAGAATCATTGGTACTTTAAGTATGGATCCAAATTAAACAAAAATATTAAATTATACACGTTTATAAAGTCTTTTCCCAAAATTGTAGAACTTTTAAAATTCAAAGTAA